TCTACGTTCATGCCCGAAGAGGATTCCTTTTTCGAGAACTGTAACTTTCCTGAGTCAACGGTGTTCGCACTGCCCTATTTCTGGCTGCGCGACATGGGCAAGGTGAAGGACAAGGAATACGAGCTCAATGTGCCACAGCAGTTCAATTCAGTGGGAGCGGTTCTTCCGCGGCGAATGTGTGGGGCACTTCAGGAGGAACCCGCCGATCATCGGAAGGTTTGGGTGCGAGGGGGAAACTGACGAAACACTGGTTATCAAACGTAAATACAACCGCCGACGTTGGGTACGCAGGCACAAGTGGCTGTTTGGAGGCATTGAAAGAGGAAGTGGACTCCTTCGGATTGTCCGAAGGAAAGACGTTTCAACTCTACTGCGGCTCATCATGAAGTAGTACATCGAGCACGGTACTACCATCCTCAGTGCAGCTGGAGAGCTTACAGCATCTCCAGTGAAAACGTGAAATATGCTTCTGGCTTAGCTCACAGTTTTCCACGGTCTGGCTCCTTCCTGTCGTGGGAAAGTCTCCGATTCGATGACCTTTCCCACGGTCTGGCTCCTTCCTGTCGTGGGAAAGTCTCCGATTCGATGACCTTTTCCACGGTCTGACAGTCGGCGCTCTGAGAAAGGTGCCTAAGAGTACGCTCTGACTGTGAAGTGTTGTTTGTGACACCACATGGCGCCGGCGTCAAGACTGGATGTTATATTCGTGATCAGGACCCCAAATAACCCCTATACACACGTTTTCAGCAGATTTGGTGAAAACAGCCGTGGCGCCAAATTGGCGCCAAACGGCGCCAAATGCGCCAAATGACACCAGCATCAAAAATGAATGTCATATTCGTAATCAGGGCATCGAATTACCCCAATAGACAAAGTTTCGACGAAAAATGAAACTTTGAGATTTTGGGGCAGTAATCGTGGGATAGTGATCCGGCAATAGGGGAAGGCTGAAAACGGTGAAAAACCAAAGTTTCAACTGGGGAAGTAATGCATATCATTCGATAGCATTTTTCACGGGGAAGCTAACGGGGCACATTTCAGGTCTGCGAGTTCATCTGGAAATGCAAAAAATCTGAACATTCCACAAGGGCATGACGAGGAGGCATGTTTGGGGCCACACCACGGAAGGAACGCTTACTTGCGACCGAGTTTTCCACATAATTCCTACAGACAAGTGACCATAGTCTACGACAGTGAAGGAAATTCTTCGCTTCCTTTACAGCTTTCTACAAAACATTCCTCTAAAAATGGGACTTGTCACGTAATAGGGGGCAAAGGCATGACAAGGGGTGATGTTTGGGGTCACACCACGGAAGAAACGCTCACCTGCGACCAAGGTTTCCATAATCCTTACAGACAAGTGACCGTAGTCTACGACAGTGAAAGAAATTGTTCGCTATCTTCACAGCTTTCTGCAAAACATGTCCCTCGAAAATGGAAAAATGTCACATAATAGGCCCACTATGCCTGCTGAGAACTGTTCAAAGATTCCACTTGATATACAGAGGATGGGATATTGAGAGCAGAGGGAACACGTAAAGCTAGTAAGCGCTTGAAAACGAAATGAAGATCTAAGAATTCGGAAAATAACATTCATCTAATCTCACAATGTAGTGGATGAGATTGAGTACGTGGCGCATTCTGGGGTAAGTTTTGAGGCCCTTCTTTGTGTGTAGCGGTTAGCCCGCATAAGCGGGATTATATACACATCACATGCGAGCAACTACTTTTTGAGATGAAATCGAGTGCATGGCGCATTCCGAAATCAAGCTTTCTGAAAATATTTTAGCACCATCTTGTAGCGCTTGAAGAGCTGAGTTCAACGGTGTTTTCCGTTTCTGGAATACTTCACTCTGACCCGACTTATAACGAATTCACGAAATTAACGAGGATTCGCGTTATTCGCGTGAATTTTCGATTTCAAACGGCGAGTACTGTATATTGTTATCCGCACACCGTTCTAAAATTGACAGTTCAGTAATTTCTTTTAGCTTGAAGGATTCTGTAATAAGGTCGAGGGTCGAAAAAGGGAAAACTTACCCAGTAAGAGGACAGGCGGGCCCTTAAGGGTCCAGACTGACACGCAATTTGCAGCGAAGGATATGCCGCGGCGATCTAGCATGGCCCTTCTCGCTGCGCTATCGGTGCGCTACGCCTCTCTCTAGCTGTCTGACCTTCTAGCCGTTTAGCAAGAGAGCGTAGCTTTGAAGAGGGCAACCGATGAAAGTCGCATCGATGGGGGAATCAGCGATAAAGAAGGGACCCATTTCTTGGGTTCCGGACAATTTATCGTGGTTTGCTCCATCCCTGCACCAGTGAGTATCTCTAACCCTATTTGTAACCTTGAGGAGCTAGCTACCTTTTCATCGTAAAATCCGCCTTTGATCCGCCCTACCCAACCAATCCTCCAATGACATGTGATCCGCAGGTCTTATAATGATCATAGTTGGAGTTCTGTCTTGGTTTTAGACGTACCTATAGAAACTACATCAGCCTAGAGCGCACTATGTGTTATTACAAAGTGATTTGAAGCATCCACTCGGATGACACTCTTTTCTTACCCATGAAATAAACCAATCGGATATTTTCTGGATCAAATTCTATCATTTTCGGAGATCTGGGGTCGATTCAAGGAAAATATGGCTGTGTAGCGGATAGAATCGCAATGTAGCAAGAAGCAACTCATAAAATATGCATAACGAATATAAATGCAAAATTAGACCGTGAAATATGAAAATAAAATGGAAATTGGACACGATCCAGAAACCGCCAAAGCCCGCAAGAGTATGAAAAGTTTTAAAAGAGAAAGAAAGTTAGAGGGAAGGGAAGTGGGAGATAAAGAGAAAAAAATGATCGTTCATGAGTTCAACCAAACAAATCGTTTTTATCTTGGATCGTCGAATGATTGCTAAGAATTTGAAGAAAAAGGTGAGCATTAATCAAATACTCAATGGAATGCGCCATGTACTTCATTTACTTCGAGCGTGACATATTTGATTTCATATCTATTACTAGACATTGATCTCTCTCAATTATTAGATCACTGTTTAAAAAAGTGTTGGGTTTTCACTATTTTGTGGAAATAGGAATATCTTGACCTACTGGGCGAGGTCATTGCTTCAGAGCATGAGTCTTAAACCAACTAACTGCACTAACCTTGTTCCAAAATTCAGTGTAGTGCCCCCACATTGATTAATTAGCCTATTTATTGGGTTTTAGGGCGGAAGTGGTGTAGTGGCAAGTGGCACGCTTACCACGCGAGCGGTCCGGGGATCAAATCCTGGGTCGTGAGTCGCCCGGGCCAACCAAGCCTTCCATCCCTCCGGGGTCGGTTAATTGGTACCAGACTTGTCTGGGAGGATAAAAACACTGACTTGTACATCGGCTGGCCCCGCAAGTCATTGTATAGGCCACATCGCATTCAAACGCCACTACGAATGTACAAATGGAAGTAGAATGCGTGCCGCATCCCAAAAAGGGATTGATCAACGGCAAATGCTTTATCCTTTATTATCCTCTATTTATTGGGTTCTTATTTTCTAAGACCGCTCAAGTATTTTTTTAGGTTGTTCACATCATGGAAGACAAGAACCAAAGTGTCGAGACGACAGCCACCCCGTCCTGCTGCAGCCATGAGCACTGTCACACTCCAGAAGATTACTGTACGGCCGAGTTCCAGAGCGTAGACAACGACTGTTTGGCGCCGGCGTACTCATACGCCGAAGCACGACGATGTCTTCAACCGTCACCACCTCCCGACGACGTCACCCAGCGACGGATTTCCCTTTGGCGACATCGCATCGCTGCCATGCCGGCACCATTGGCGCAGTTTGACAAAGAGACCAACATCATGGGCATTGTGCACACTTCGGTCTAGCGCTGGAACTCCTAACCAGAGGTATCGGCAGTTTCACTTCTATCAGCTCAACAAATCGACTTCACATTGGCTCCTTGCCAAAAATTTGGCGCGAGAAAAGCGATTGGTGTATCTTTACCGGCTTGTTCTACGCACAAGGAAATATCCGCTGCTGCCTCAACTGTGCGCACGCTGCGCCAAATCATCCATCGAAAAATCGATAATTCCATCGAACACAAATACCGCAACGCGTGACGCAACGCACCTTTGCATCCAGTAGAACAGAAGATTTCTCTCCACATCATAGCCACCAATCAGGGATAAGAACGCGATTCAATGTCAAATATTTACGTCTGCAAAAAATAGTGCAATTCTGGAACAAGTAGAACCGTCGTAGTTTCTGTGGTCCCACCAACCTTTCGTGTTCCGATTCCTCGAATTCTTACCGATTTTTCGCTCAGCTCAACTCTTCGCTCTTCTCTTTCCCCAGGACTTTCCGTACACTTTCGCTCCGCGTTTTTCACGTGTACTGTGCCTTTCTGTTAACAATTACAAAAAATGTAATTTTATTACATTTTGATCATCCATGTACCCTTACGAATAAATACATTACTCACTTCAAAAAATCATGTATCACAGTTCCATAACTGAAGAATGAAAAAGGAAGCTATTTACACAAATGACTAGTCAATGGAGTCTCTGGAAAACAGTCGAGCAGTTTCTTCGTCCACCAGCTGCACACTTACTATCACAGAAAAACTTTGACAACAACGAGAAAAAAGCGAACACCAAACCCATCAATTTGCACAAATCTTCAAAACCATAGTAGAATCAGCGTAAAGGAATAGGAAAGTAGGGTAAAGAGCATTGGAAGAACACCTAAAAAGAAGGACCGTTTCGAGCTTACTACATAATTCACATATAAGGAGCAACGATATCTTCTTCCACCCACAACGCAGGGTCTATTAGTTTAGACGGATGACACTGATCATTCACAACCAATAAAACTGCCAATATTGGGACTCCAACGAAAGAAAATGGAATGAGCTAACAGTCCCAAACTGGGCAGGACACGATAGAAAACACAATACATACTAGCCCAGATCTAAAGCTAATTACTGACCGACCGTTTGAGGCACAGCCGTCACTCAAGCGGCGAACGTTCACTGGTTCGCGAAATGTTATCGGCACTTGGCGAATTAGCACCATGTGAGTTTAACATGGGAGAATTGGCACCACGGGAGCTTGAAGGCGGTGAGGATGTTGAGGTTCTAAGGATGAGTCGAGCCAAATGAGAATGGCCAACACTTGAGAGTAATTCCACCACGTCCGGCCATTCACGCTGACTGGCTTGAGCGTACATAAATTGTGTCTGAAGAAGATAGAACTTCTTTGAAAAAACCTACGGTAAACCTCTCAATAAATAGGAAACTCAGAAAAAAGAGGAACTCAAACTCAAAAAACGTAAGCAGCCACAAAAAAAAGAATCAAAATTCAATCGGAGCATTGGTTGCAATTCCTCGAATACGTAATGCTCCTTCTTTCATCCAATATGTGCCTTCGATCTAACAGATGAGACACCAAATTGCGATAGAGGGTATGAAATACTTACTTTTTGGTCGAAAGATAAATGAGTTATCCATTTGCTGAGCACATCTTCCGAATCTTCTAAACCCATCTGAAAGTGATGCATTGTGATGGGGAAATAGAAGGAAACTAGCCTCAATTTGAAATCTTAAAAAAACCGCAAAGAAATTCTCAAAACAAACTTTGGCATATATAATACTCTTATTCCACTGCCGTTGTGACTGGAGATATTTGCAAGCATCACCTCCAGCTTTCACTAGGAACAGCAACTCGACACCATCTGAACACAACAACTTCGTAGCACTAATGGTAAGGGCAGTAGTTCTCTTTGCGAGCTTTCACAAAAATGACTGATCACTTTAAAGAATAAGCCTCTTCGAAAAAATTCAAACCATACTTCACTGCAGACGTTACAGATTGACAAGGATTGGACTTACCTTCAATCATATCGGAGGCAATAAGATTTGTAGCAATCAATTTAATCAGTGATCGAGCTTGTTCACATTCCTGAATTGCCATGAGAATTGTTCAGTACGTTTACGATTAGCACAGCTATTTGCACCAAATGAGTTGAACTTATGGAAATCGAACGAACAATTAATAACAATTAATTAAACAATTAATCAAA